AATCTGTTTTGGAAAGGTGAGTGGTTCTGAAACTAAACTCCTCATGTGTTTGTGGTATAAACTGTTTTGATCTTAATTTGGAAGATGTTAAACTAGTTTCAAACAGCTGTTAAGTTGTTATTGTTTTTGGCTACTGTTTCTGGGTAACTAGAAGGCAGATGGTGTTTTTAAAACAGACTGATCTATGATTCTGTTTTGAGGATATAAATGAGTTTAAACAGCCATGATTTATGAACAAGAGTGTTCTTATGGTTCAATCGGGTTTTGAAATATAAACCTGTGGGGGGAACCARAATTGTTGTTTGGAAAGAACATGAGTGTTCTTATGGTTCAATCAGGTTTTGAAATATAAACCTGTGGGGGGAACCAGATTTTGATGTAACTATAAACAGGTTAACTCTAACAGGAATACTACAGCCTGTTAGTTGGATGAAATACTTCATATGATTTTCAGGGGAAATAAGGTTGGTCGTGTGTGGTTTGTGATAGCTGTTGCTATGATGGGGATTCTGGATGTAATAAGKATGGTCGTTGTGTGTGCATKGTATAACTATTGCTATTATGTCTCTTAGGATACAACAGATTGGAGTTCTCACTTCTTAGTGATTTGAGGATTCAGTAATGTTCTTATTAGAGATGATAGTATTGATGTTTTGGATTGTGAAAAAACATGGGCCTTGGTTGGTATTTATTTTAAAGAACCAGAAGGGTCTAGTACGTGTTTGAAAACAATGCAAGTGTTTTTGCATAGTCGGTCGTGAAAATCAGAAGCTCTGTATCAAAAATTGGTCTATCATACATAAGCTATGTATTTGTTAAATACATAGCTCTGTATTAAAAATTGGGTTTTCGTGCAAAGGCTCTATATCCGCTAGATACAGAGCTCTGCTTTTAAAATAAGGCTTCCGCATATAGAGGCTCTGCATCTTCTAAATAAGAGCTCTGTATTAAACTTCCTTTATAAAAATCATTTTGAGAGTTTTTATACTTGGATTCTTTTTACGAAAAATAGACCAGAGGAGCTCTGGTTGGTCTTGATTTTAGATTGGAAGCTCTGGATTGAGGAACCAGAGGCTCTTGTTAAACTTAAAGCCTTTTATATATATTTTGGTTTTGAACCAGAGGTTCTGGATTGAGGAACCAGAAGCTCTACTCATAAATCTAAAAGAGTTTTCAAATGTTTTTATTCTTGGCGAACTTCCTTATAATAGTCCAGAGGGGCTTTGGATGGCCTTGAGCGCTAGTCCGGAGAGGCTCTGGATGGTCTTATGCGTAATTCTAGAAGCTCTGGTTGAGCATGCATGTATTATCCAGAAGCTCTGGAAGAGGAACCTTTTGGCGTCAAATTTTCTAAGTGTTGATTTTTGACCAGAGGACCGATGGACCAAAGCAGAATCTGTTTTTATGCTAGAATTTGTGATAAAGGTTTTGGTGTTTATAACCCTACACTGCATGGAAAAGGGGGATCCCACTAGACTGTTGTCTAACCGTCATTTTGTGTGTTTTAATTATGTGTGTGCAGGTTATACTAGCTATAGTGATAAAGGGAAAGGCATACTATGATTCTATTTTTACTTGCATGCGGGAAGATAGGAACTCATAGGAATTACATTCGCAAGAACTTGTATTTGGAATTTTTGAGTTGTGTATTTCGTATTTTAGACTCTTGTATTATGGACCTATGTGGGTTTAAAACATGTATTCGATGTATGAAATATGTGTTATATGCAATATATGGATTTGGGGGTGTTACACTAGTAACAGTTTCCTGACTATTAGCAATACCAACTACTAATTTGTCATCAAGTAACACAAAATTCAAACATGCAATTTGAGCAAATGATGGTGATACAAATGAAAAGTTTGCACCAAAGTCAAATAACACTTTAGCATGTACAGAATTTCGAAGGAAAGTACCTGTTACTAGATCTGGTGACGCCTCTGTCTCATTCTTTGTCATCTGGAAGGATCGTCCCCGTGCCCCTCCTTCCCCTCATTTGTTCACAGTAGGTCTTCCCCGAGTACCTGACGCATTACTTTCCATTGTCATCCATGGAGTTCTTAACAGTGGACAGTTTGGTCGAATATGATCCAGAGAATTGCAATTGAAACATCTTCTATTAGCTGGGAAACTCCTTGACAAATGGTCCGCTTCACCACACTTGTAGCATTTCCTTGGGTCCATCTTGCCCTCACCCTGATGAACCTGTCAGCATTGTGTACATACTTTCTCACCGACCTTCTAATTAACTCTATTATCATATCTCACAGTTTTCGGCCCTCGAAATTTTAATGAAGCCCCTTCCCACTTTATTTTCACTACAACTTTTCCCTCTAATTGCCTATTCTTATTTCGTTCTGTCACTTCGGCCGCATCTACAGTCAGTGAAAAGGTATTGGGGTTCATATCAATTACAAACTCTCTGATTGAGGGTTTCAAACCCCAGATATACCTTTCTATCATCCTGGATTCGGATGAAACATAGTGCTCGGCAATCGAGAGTATTCAATAAATTTTTTCAGTATATTCTCGAACTGTTTCATTTCCCTGTTCCAATTTCAAGAAATCTTCTTCCATTTGTCTCACTGCTGTCTTAGGAAAAAATTGATTCTTGAATCGGTTCACAAATTTTGTCCAATATAATGTTTGTAAAATAACCGTTCTGGCCAATGATTCAACTTCCCACCAGAACAGAGCATCTGATTTCAGTACTGAAATAGCAAATCGAACTTCATTTGTTTCCGGACACCGGATGGTGTTGAACACAGATTCCATTTCTTTGATCCAGCACAAAGCTTTCACTGGATCGCTTTCCCCAGAAAAGGTTGGTGGCTTGCATGCCAAGAACATCTTGATATCTCCCTCCTTATTATGAGTAACCGGTACAGAGGGATGAACTTCTACTCTCTCTGTTTCCACCCTAGCCGGTATGCACATGATAGATGTCAGAGTTTCTCGTAACTT